CAAACGAATTTGTCAAATGCATTTTGTATGTGAAGGTCATGGAAAGTTGTTTATGTGTTTACTTTTCCAAATTTTCTAATGGATCAAATTATATTTTGTTTATCAACAACCTTTGCACATTTATTCAATAATAACAACCTCATTTGAATTATTATAATTCAAAAAAACTTGTAAACATTGTTGTTAAAAAGATAATTTGACCTTTCTAATAAAGAAAAATAGGTTTTTACCCGAAAAAAAAAAGGCAAAATACTTATTACTTCTAATCGTTTTCAACAATATTGAAAGTTCAGTGGGATATGTTTTTCACATTTTTTCGCACATAATTTGAAATATATTTAGCAGTGTAATGATTTTTTTAGAAATTTGAATATATAATTCTCCGAAAAATGTTGCCCCCTGGAGATTGATATTTACAACATTATATATGAGGAACAAAGTGTTATTAAAAGAACTCAGGTTACTCCCCATCATTTTCATTTATATTAATCTCAAGTTTAAGCTACATTTTGCCAATCAAGAGATGAAAAAACCGAAAAAAAAAAAAACAAACTGAGAACTTGGTCTCTGTCAGTAATCAGTATATTTTGTAAATTTTTGGTTCCTTTATTGTTGATGGCTCATTGTGGTTAAAAAAAAAAAGATAAAATGAGACCCTTCAAAAGTCAGGAACTGTAAGGAAGTAAGTTGACATGGCCTTTCTGAACCTTTTCTTGTACTGCATAGGTGACACAACAGTTGGGGATGCATTTTTGGGGCCACCCAGGATTCCTGAAGCCTTCACCCAAGTCTCTAGATGTTTGTCCCATGTATACTGCCTCATAAAATCAATAATGCCTACAACCAGCTCCTTTTGATCTTCATCCACACCCACCAGTAAAGAGTAGTCCATTACATCTACAGACTGCAACATGAGAACCAGTTATAACAGTAATTCAAATAATCAATAACAACGCATGAAATCTAGCAAAATATGTGTATGTTCATTCGCAGATGGATGAAATGTAAAGGAGCTCACCGCCAGAAAGAAGGTATCATTCCAAACTGCTCTCTCCAAGCTTCGTTTTGCTTTGCTACCAAGGAATAGTGGGTTCGTATGTAACGTTTCAATCAGATTCATATCTAAAAGAACTTTGTTCTTTCCTGTTGTATCTGGATTATAACGAGAGCGTGCTGAGCCCTTCAGATCATACACTCTGGATATATTTCTCTTGAAAAAGAGATTCTCCATCACCATAAATTCCATCTTTGTTTGCCTTCCACCCTTCAGATGCTTGACACTTACCTATAACAAGTCAGTGTGAAATTGCAATTACATCCCCTTCCACATATTTATGATAATAATAAATATAAAAGAAACTCTTACCTGATAAATACCAAGGACCTTAGCAAGACATGTTGGGCTTCCTGAAGGAAGAGAATCGGTCAAATATTTGAAGTACTGGGGTGCAAATTCCACAAAAGAATCCAACTCTGTTTTTGTGACTTGTTTTATGATAAATCTCTCATCAAATGACTTGGCAAAATATACATTGCTCTTTCCACCTTGCGCACTCCATCTTTTGCAACGGCTCAAGGAGCGAATAAAATCTACTTCACTAGGGCAGCATTTCTTCCTTAGAGCATCAAACTGCCTTGCGAAGTAGCAGATTACAGAGAATTTCACTTTGCCTGCAGCAGATGAATACTCATCCTCAAATGAAATTGTAAAATGAGGAGATTTCTTTTGATCCAAAAATACTCTGCCTATATTTAACGATGCATCACTCCTGAAGACAATTTCTTCAGAGTCTAGTGAACCAAAAGACTGCCATGCTGAAAGTGTAGAAGCAGCTGAACTATAACTCGAAACGAGCTCATCTTCTCTATTGCTCTCACTCGCATTCCAGCTTCCATGCGCATCTAACTTATCAGCAATCCAGTCTTCATACTCCTTAGAACCAAGGGCATGTGATACAACACTAGCTGGTTCATTATCATAAACAGGAATAACAATATTATTATGACCTGTTTGGGGAAGTAACAATCGAGCCCCTTCACTAGCCAGATTAGATGCTGAAGAGATGAATAAGGGTATGGAACTGAAAATGAAGCTCAACTTCTGGGATTCCCTGGAAGAAGTCTGAGATAAAGTCCTGAGTATGTTTGGAATTGGATCTCTAACCATATCCCTAAATTCTCCAGAAGCATGGAAAGAGCGAATCGATGATAGCTGCAATGAAGGTGACAATCCTCGTCTGATTTTCTCTTGGATTCTCATAGCTGAATCAAATGAATGAACTCTCACAGGGGACTTGAGCATTCTACAAGAGCGATTATCTAACTGATCAATATCACCAACTAACAAAGTTTGCTTAATATCTGGTTGTGAGATATATGGAGCCTGTTCTTTTGGTGGTGGCTGACCTCTACCAGTCCATGCAAAGTCTATTTTATCAGAAAGATAAGAAGCTGGGGACGGGAGGGATGGTGGGGATATCTCATCAACTGGAATTTCACTAACAGGACAAGACTCATTTGGCTTTTGATCAGGGTCTGAAGTCAACTCAGTGTTGTTTAAACAATAGCTCTCAACTGAATTCATAATCACTTGGTCTACGTTCAGTTCAACTGAAATTGGCTCCATAAGAGATAAGCAAGGATCTTCCTTTCCCTCTGGTAGTAATTGGATCTTGGAATTTTCTGGCACTGTCAAAGACTTATTGCTGTCTTCGGGTCCATAGCGAAGCTTTACATCCTTAAAAAATGTGTCGTCTCTCCATTCCTTTAGCCTGACATAGGTTGCAGCCTCCAACATATGTGTATCAATCTTCTGCATAGAAGCTTTGTTTTTTAGAAGAGACTCCAATGAGTAGAGCCGATGGTCCCAAATATAGGAATCCATTAGGACACAACGTTTCAAGCGGTTAAGTTCAAGAATGTCTAATGCAATCTCCCAATAATGGGGGTCGTCGGTGCAAACCGGATGTAGTAGACTCTGCAGAATGACAGGCTAGTCAATTTAATGCTAAAAGTATTAAATGGGAAAAATTATTACCTATCATTTGAAATCTCTGTTTGGACTCACTTCATATTCATTTCTTTCCTTTTTCAGCAAAACTTTCAAATCAGTTACGTGATTATGGAACTCAATCTCAACCAAAAACATCTGTCCTAAGGATGAACCCTTTTGCTCAATGCTATGTAGTGTGTCAAACACCTCGGCATATAGAACTTCCATTTCATTGTAAAGCTGAGAAGTGAGAACAAAATAATATTTGTCACTGCTTTCCCACAAACCAAAACCATCAAAGTTGTTTCGAACGAAGGATTCAATATCAACTAAAAAGAAA